TGGGGTCATCCAGGAACTGGGGTCCGGGACCGGGCTGTGGGGCAGGAGACGGGTTAGGGGCAGCAGGGGGATGGATTTTGGCACTAGGGAGCCCGCTGCCTGCATGGACATCCCTTTGGGACTGTGGGGCAGCTATGGGCCCCACAAACCCCAAAAGGGCACCCCATGGGTCATGCCAATGGGAATGTGTCTAAGGATGGGGACAGGGACAGAGTCCTGCACACAACGCTGAGGATGAGGACAGGGATGGGAATGGGGTCCTGCGCACCCCCAGGGATGGGGATAGCGGCTCATGCACAACCCTGGGGATGGGGACAAGCTCTCACACACCCCCACCAGGATGGGAATGGAAACGAGAGTCCTGTGCACTCCTAGGGACAAGGGATGAGGTCCCACACACAACCCTGGGGATGGGAATGGGGTCCTGTACACCCCAGGGAACAGGGATGGGGTCTTCCATACCCTTGGAGATGGGGTCTCACATAACCCCATGGAGACGGGGACAGCGCCCTGTATACACCCTGGTGACAGGGATGGGGTCACACACACACCCCTGGGCATGTGAATGGGGTCCTGCGCACCCTTCAGGACAGGGATGGTGTCATGTGCACCCCTGGAGGCAGAGTCTTGCAGACCCCCTGGGGATGGGGTCTCACATAACCCGCCCCCCCGAGATGGAAATACGGTCCTGTACACCGCTGGGGACAGGGACGGGGCCTCATGCACAACCCCGGGGATATGGATGGGGCCCCACACACCCCCCTGGTGATGGGCAGACAGGCTCCCCTGCCCCACACTCCCCCCAGCCCTGTACCTTGGTGTGCAGAATGTACCGGACAGCCCCCGGCACCGGCTCAGCCACAACGGCTGGGAGCAGCTCCTCCGGCAGCGAGGCCGAGCTCACAGGGAGCCCGCGCACAAACCTGCGGCACAGCAGAGCCGTCAGCCCCTGCCATAGCCCCCAAACACCCTGCTCCCCAAAAAGAGCGATGGGATTGCCCTTACTGGTCCCCGTTGGTGGCGGGGGGGAAGCTGCGTCTCACCACCTCCACGAACTCAGCCACAGTGTCAGCCAGCATGAAGATGACGGCGTTGGGGCCAGCATCAAAGGTGTAGGCTACCTGTGGTGAGATGAGACCCAACATGGGGCGAGGAACCACAGCACCGCAGCACACCCCCCAGAGCCCCACGGGGCCAGCGACTTGGTGCAGCCGTGGTGGTCATTGAAGCGGTGTGCTAAGGCGATGATGTGCCGTGAGAGGTCGTTGAGGTAGAAGATGGGGGGGAAGGTGTCGAGGCAGGTGGCGTGGAACTGGTTGCTGTCCTGCATGGTGAGCTGCCCAAAGCCCTCGAAGTCCCGCTCACGGATGTGCCGCACCATCAGGGCCAGGCGCTCCGGCACCACCACCTCTGCGCGGTGCTGCCGCGATTGGGGCCGTGGTCACCCCAG